CCCCCCCCCCCCCCCCCCCCCCCCCCCCCCCCCCCCCCCCCCCCCCGTAACTTATAAAATTCTATTTATCAAAAATGTTGGAGGCGGAGTAACCAACGTTGCCAGATCTTTCGAATTTTGAGATTGGTGTAGTATAAGTTTCATTTTGTGAAACACAATGCAAGACAATTTTTCGAATACGGGAGATCTCCATCCTTCCACTGTCGCGGCATCCCTGGGCTTAATGCTCTGCAACGACTAAATATATTTATATGAAACGAAGAAAGAAAATCGACTGGCATATGGCGATTATTACACGACTATACGTTGTACAAATTTTCAAACATATTTGCGCCGATCGGCAAGAGAAGATATCAGTGGCGTGCTTTGTTGTGCAGCCAACTTTGTTGAAAAATACAAAGAGATAAATGCTTTATCTCGAATTCGGAAAATAAAATTTCCAAGCACGAGTACTTCGAGTAGTTTGCCCACCTCAGATTCAGATACCATATGCATTTCTGGAGGAATCTATCAAATAAATATGATCCAGGATCATGAGCGTCAGCAGAACACGTCCTAACAATTCCTATTTATAGACTGAATCAGGAACGAGCAGTGCACGCTAAACAAGAAAGTGAATATCAACAAACGATTTCTTCATTACAAAAGAAAATAGCCGAGATGATTAAACAACATACAATAGTTATGGATGAAATAAAACGTGAACTTCATCAAGAACGTTTGTCTGCTCAAAAACGTGCTTCAGCACGTTCAATTTGTGTCCCCGAATATGTTCAAGTATTTTACATTTTTTCCTACTCGTCTATAAACTATCTTGTTTCTTTTCTATTTCAGACAGATATATCAATAAATGAAATTAAATCCGATTATATGGCAACAGTTGAAAAATTGCGAGGTAACAATCCTATATTGAAAAAGAGCTCATCGATTGTTCAAGTAAGAGAGAGGTAGATACCGTTTAAAACAACAACAAAAAAAAAGAATGCACGTACATTTTTGCTCGACATTGAATCTATTGCTCTATGCTATTTACCTAATAGAAAAGAAAAACAATATCCGTTTATTCATATATTTACACATTGCATGAGGTTAAGCCAACGGATAGATACACGTTCATTGCATGTACATATTATTTATTTGCTGCATCCATTCTAGAATTGTTTACAATTGAAATGCTTGCTCTCTTACGACTTACATGCAAGATGATTTTTGATGTTCACCATCGAGGTATATTATTTTTGTTCATAGACATGTACGATATAAGATTTTTCGAAAACAATACTCGTATTCAGTAGTTTATAGCGGCAATTAACGTCAATACATACGGCGAGACAATTCTTTTCGAAACCGAAACTGTCATTCTAAGTCATACAGTAATTTTTCTTATAAACTTCTATGAAATATTATCTCTATCGGAAAGCTTTTCTCCTAATTTTGAAAAATCTTAATTTCGTACATAACTAATGCATCTTAATTTTGCTTATGAGAATTCGTTTTTGTATCATACTAATTAATCCGATAATTCGTTTTCATTTCTTATTCAAGTGGGAATAGCTCATTATATGGACAATCTCGAAATCTCAATAAAAAAACAAATCCAAACTGAACTAGCTCGAAGTCGTAATTCAATGATTAAAGAAATTCGTCGTGAACTTTTTGAGAAAATGACACAAGCGATGAAAAGTCAAGGAGTGTAAGTGAAAATATTTTCATTGGAATGTAAATATTATTTTGTTTTTTTAAAATAAATCTAGGCCAGATACAACTATCGATATGCATGTATTCGAATTAGATCGTCTTCTATCTCAAATGGCTCAAGATTGCTTAGATTCATTAAGTTCATCATCATCGACAACATCGTCCATCTATTCAACAATGTCATCAAATTCGTCATTAGTAACTCCACAGCGTCGTACAATGGTCTATGATTCTTCTACATCAACAACTCTAACAAAATCTAAAACTACAGAAAATAATTTTACGCCATTAAGAAAATCAACTGAATGTCTTCATATGACACCAGCAATGCACAAACAAGCTGCGCCATTAGCTCCACATTGTCATATCACACTTGATAGTGATCGCCGACCAAAATCAGCATCAACCATATTATTAGCTAGTCAAAATTCGGCAACACCCACTGTTCTATCGCCACGCACACATAAATTTCAACGTCCAACGCATAGAAATTTTAAAATGAAAATGTATCGAAGTGAAGACGATATTATGTCAGCTGTACATCGTCACGATGATCGACAAGATCAAAAATCTGAGTTGAATAGCGGCGTTGGCGAAGACGATGATGATGCTACAATAACATTATGCGAAAATGAAACTGACGATAGGCAACATCAGCAGCCGAATGTTCGTGCGCTAGCAAAACAATTTGAACAGAAAACAAATTCATTGCCCGATCATAATCGTTCGAAATTAAAAACGCCTGACAATCAGCAAGCAATACATTATGCTACTGCACGAACGATTATTAATGAACAGCAAGAAGATGGCGAAGATGACGATGAATTAACATGGCCACAACAGCAACAGCAACAGCAACAACAACAGCAGCACCAGCAACAGTATCAACATCAGCAACAGCAAACACAGACACCATCACATAGTGGCATTAAAAAATTTGTACGTCATAGTTTAAAACTATTCACTACACAATCACAACAACAGCAAAATAAGAAAACAGGAAAATAAATCACTGTGCACTTTTTTTCGTTTGGCTTTTCGATTGTTTTTTGTTAATACGTAATATACATATATATATATATATTTTTTTTTCTCTCTCTCTCTCTCTCTCTCATACGATAGATTCTTATTCATTGAATTACTTCTTCTCCTTGATAGATTGGTAGATATATGTTTCTTTGTTTTGTCTCAGGTGTAATCATGATTTATTTCTGTATGCATCGCCGGTTTTCTTCTGTTTCGATGCATTATCCGTCCACTTGACTTCAACAGTTTAAATTTTCTTTTTGTTTTTAATTGTATATCATATTATTGTTTATTGCTGAATTGAAAGAAGCAAATCAATAAATGGAAATATCTTCTAAAAAAAAAAGATTGGTACAAGTTTAAACAAGATGTTAACGTATCGAATTCGTAGAAACACAGTTTCCAATATCATCAGGTGTACGGTTAGCAATCGATTTTCTAATGAAATTTTACATCGCAAATGTTCAAAAAAGTTTGGATAGATGTTGAAAATTATTCATATCCTATCTCTGCACTTTACAGGAAATGCATTAACCATTGCCATCTTAAAGTCGTCCTAAATCGATGAACACGAAAGCAAAGTATCCATTTCTCGCAGCAAAACTCTGAATCATACTAAAAAAAGTTGCAGTTCATACATGCATTTCTGAAGCATCTTAGAAATGTAGACAAAAACTCTTCGTTTTTCTTAAGACGAAACAATAGACTTGTAAAGAGACAATAGTTCAATCGATAGTCTCATGTTGAGCCAGAAAAATCTGTCAATTTTCATACTCTAATTATGTAATGAACAGTTTGATAGGGTGGCAATGCATTTATCGGTTGACCCTGCCCTTCTGAACCTGTAGATCCACTGATTATATGCGTATGACTTCCACTCGATTGTATAGTGATACCAGTGACATCAGCATAAATTCCATGCAAATGATTGGACAACGCGGTAAAGCCCCATTGGCCAGTCCATGGAATTCCATAGCCATACGTAGGAATCCATACGCCAGTTGTTGCTCCAGTGTGACTGTGGCCTGGATCTGAATATCCATGTGTATGTGCGCCATCGGTTTGCGTTAGTAGTGTACCTTGGTCATGGGTATGTGCAGGCAACTCGGTTACTGTTATCGTATGCGATGCGCTACCACCCATTGCCAGATGCGTATCGTTCGTTTCATTGGCACCCAACGGAAATTGAGAACGAAAATCAGGTAAATTAAATGTATCTATACCATTACCAACTCCGTAGGTAATACCAATCACAGAAAATAATGTTCGGTAAGTTGTTCGTGATACTTCAGAACCGTTACAAAATAACCATCGACTATTCTGATCGGCTAGTGCTGATGCACTTCCGGCGTACATGAGAGTTGCTCCAATTGGAAAATCTGAAACAATGACAACAGTTGTTAAGAAATTATGAAAGTTTGCCCAATACTTAAAATGGTTTTCAATTGCAGGAAATCGATTTCTGAGACACAGAACTTTTTTCCTCCTCAATACGCCCTCAAAACTATTTTGTTTGCATTCATTGTAGACTACGTACTTTAATCCTATTCGATTTGCCGTTCTACACATCAGTGTACAGCCGTATTTACTGTTAACTTGATATGAGTCAAATGTTCTAAAGACTGAATGTAATTTAACTTTTAGTTTTATATAGGTATGTAAAAAAAAACATTCAATCATGTTTTTGAAGGAAAGATCCATGAGTAACTACGCTAAATGATTATTTCATTCTCACTGAAACCAACTTCTATTTAACAGATAAACCCGAAGACTCTTGAAGAATCTTCTCGCTTTCAATGTAAGTTTCAAATAAACGTCTTTACCTATAACAGTGGTCGTATTTGTTGATTGAGGTGTGCTTAAAGCAACCGCTCCATATATAGCCATTGCAAATATTGCTGCCAACAATGCAGCAACGCCTGAAATGATACCAATGAATAATGGACTACTCTTAGGCTCGGCAGTATCTTTAAACATCCCTCTAAAAAGAAAGGAGAAATATCCATGATTCTAACACGATATCTTGCACGTATTCTCGTGCATTTCATCAGTTAATAGATGAAGCTAGAACTGATCAATGTTACTCACTTGCTCACGTTTGTAAATGATGAGTTCCATTGTCTATGATATGATGGATTCATCGATGAAGCATAAGGACTTATGGTAGGTTCAACTGTCCGTAATGAATGCGTACGTGACNCCCTCTAAAAAGAAAGGAGAAATATCCATGATTCTAACACGATATCTTGCACGTATTCTCGTGCATTTCATCAGTTAATAGATGAAGCTAGAACTGATCAATGTTACTCACTTGCTCACGTTTGTAAATGATGAGTTCCATTGTCTATGATATGATGGATTCATCGATGAAGCATAAGGACTTATGGTAGGTTCAACTGTCCGTAATGAATGCGTACGTGACGGGACATACAAATGTTCGCGCTTTCCAATCCTGTTCTCAGGTCTCATCTAGAGAAATAAAATTTTACTTTCTGAAATTTACTGCAATGAAAATGAATCTTAATCAACAATTTGAAAATGTTGTCGAGTCTATAAGTACCTGGTATGCATCTTCACAATAGACGTTTCTGGAAATATAAGACGCGCGCATAGATGGAATTCTACTTGAATTTAGGTTTATTCCGATACTTTATGCTTTTGTTCACTGAAACAGATTGAATTATTCTCTCTCTTATGTCGATTTTGTTTTCGAGATGATTGAAATACATCGATCTCTGTTATTATTTGTAAGTAGAATTAAAGAAACCTTGGCAATATCGAACAATAGCAGACTATGTTCTCCACCTTTCAATCATTTTTTTTTTTATTTTGGGTAGCTTTTGTACGAGACAAGTTAGATATTGCAATATTCAATTGGATGAAATTATTTCTATGTCTTGAAAAGTAGAACAAAAAATTCAACAATCGTATTGTAAATAACAAAACAAAAGCTGCATTGTTCGAGTTTTTGTTTTTATTGGATCATTTAAATAAAACTCTTCTGATTACAGAAAAAAAATGGAGTGAGCATCAAAGGATTCTATTTGATTCGTTCGCAACGATCGAGCATGCAAATGATATGCTGATTACAATCAGAGAAACACATTACACAAAACAAAATCAATAGCGAAAATAAGTTTTCTAGAAGATGCAGTTTCTAAAGTGAATCTAAATCTATCGAACAGTCAACAAGATCAATCTCGTGATCTTTAGTTTTGCTTGCAGATGATTGAACAACGAAGAAACCTGATCGATCCATATATCTACTGTGGAAGCATATGTGTTTCGCCTCGATGGAACTCAATGTTTTGACACTGTGTTTTTTGATAAGAAATATCTCGTGAATTGCTGCCGATTTTTCATCATTTTCAGGTTGCATAGGTCATCTGAAAATCAAATTAGATATGAACACTAAGAGCGAAATTTCTCTTGTACGACGTTCACGCCATCTGTAAAAAAATCGAAACTAAACATATAAATCCGTTCATTGGGAATATATCTTACGTTAGTACATCATATATATGAAGAGTTTACCAATCAAAAGCAATGATATATTCGATTATTTCTATCGAGTTAATCTAAGCAAATATCAGAACGTGATATTTTCGAACTGTTTCATATAGATATGTTGTTTATTCTGTTTCGATTGCGAGCACTGAATAACTTCACAAAGACGGGCAAGACTCATTTGAGCAAAAGAAGTTTTCAATTGGATTGCTGGAAAAGTTGATAAAAAGTGTTCGAACCAAACCAATGTTTGAAAGTAGTCTGAATATATTTGTTACAGTGAAAAATGCACTTCGTTGAACAACCATTTAAAATTAGATTGCATTGGCTATTAATCTCCAGCACGCACCTTTAAAGTTAAAGAAAGATATTCTTTTTTCAAAAATTTGATCAGCAGAATCTCCAATTTTGTTCTGAAGCATCGATTTACGAGTAAAAACTTTCTTTCGGTCAAAATCTGCTCTATGCTGCCATGAATTTCGGTATCGAAAAAAACTTAAAAGCAAGACTGCATAGATTGATAAACCATCAGAATATATAAAATTTTCTCTGAATTCGCAGTCGCTCGATGACTTGCAATTTTTGCTTTATCTATACTTGGCAAAGTTTGAGTGAAATAAATGCACTATAATGATAGAAACAACAAAAATATACCAGATAATATTACAATGGCCGATGCACTCTGGTTTGTCTGTAGTCATATGGCATGATACCACTAATGTATTAGAGAAGGATTAGCTTTATTTTCTACTATGCGGACCAGCTTGAAAGAAAACGATCAAATAAGTCAATATTATTTGATACAATACTCAGATAAGAATATTCGCGTATTTGCCTAATTACAAAATAGATTTTATATATAAATAAGAAGTATTTTATTGCCCGTACATACCGTTATCATTGACATAGAAATTCCTACAATGAAAGGCATATTGATCGCCGTACTTTTATGTGTTTCGTTAAAATCGATGGCTCTTGGATTTGTATGTCCAGCTGATGGTTTGTTTTTGAATTCAGAAGATAAGCATTCATACTATCAATGTGCATCTGGAACTGCATTTTTGATGCCTTGCCCATCAGGATTAGTTTGGGACCAGAGCAGTCATGTATGTGAATGGCCGTCAGTTCAAGGTCTGTTGATTTTGCTTTTTCTTATTAGCCGACACAATATTGACTTCTAAACAAAACAGCACTTGCTTGTGTGATACCCAGAGAGTTTTATTTTGAACTTGAAACTAATCGAAATAGTCACATATGATGAGATTCAATTATGCGAGGGGAAAAGCTAATACCTATGATTAGACAAGTAGATCTTGTCAATTAGTTGATGGTTGTATGTAAACAAAGCACATAATATGGTGCATCACTCACGTGCTCTACATTTAAGAGAAAATTTAAATTGTTTGAAGATAATACGCAAAGAAAGGCTACCAGCAGCTTTTGAATGGCTCTCGATTGAAACGGAATATTTTTGTTCTAACGATTGATGACTCTAAGGAAAGTAGAAATCTAGCTCGTACACAACCATTGAGTTATGTGTAATCAAAGATCCATAGAATAATCTCTTTTGACAGAAAAGAATCGTAGGTGTTTTCTACGTGGAAATGGCAGAATTCCAGCAGTTGCGTTGACCGAACTGTATGCTTTAATACTCCACCAACTAAAGTCTTAAATGTGAAGTATTTCGTCAGTGTCGATTTAATCCTCTGTGCGCGTCTGTCTTGTAGCATCTAAACGTTTCCTGATTGTCGTTGGTGGAAACACAACAACTGGCAAATGTCTCGATATTGCTGGCGGTGATGCTGTCCTCCACGCCCAAATTCAATTATTCCGGTGTCACGGAAGAGAAAATCAACAATTTGAATTAAATCACGATGGTTCAATTCGTATCATGGGCAAATGTTTGGATATCCCTGATTCGAGAGCCGTTGATCATCAATCTATACAACTATTTCACTGTCGTTCTGCCCAGGAAAATCAAGTTTTCACAATTGACGGAGCAAATCGTATCCATGTTATGGGCAAATGTTTAGATGTACCCAATGGTCAAATAGTCAACAACAATCCATTACAATTATTCCGATGTCACGATCAAGCAAGTCAACGTTTCACCTTGTTACCTCTTTGATGCGAAATATTTGTCACTTCTTATTCAACTAAATAAATAAGCATACATCGTTTTGTCGTTGAACAGCATATTTTTGTAAATAAAAGGCCTAGCATCCAATTGTCTTTCGTGATATCTAGCATCTACGACTAAATCATTATCATGACTCACACAAATCGTAAAGATAACGGTCACCGAGAGTACAAAGGTTGTAGATACGCTCGAATCAGACCACATTGATAACCTGTACGGTATTAATAGAGTGCTGGAAATTAATACTACTCTAAAGCAATCAAATCTTAATTTCAGCAAAAAAGCAAATCTCTATTCACACCCTCGATTCTATGTAAAATTTAAGAAAAAGAGACAACAACTTTCTTTATTGATAGTAATAGAGAAATACAACTGATTCGGATAAGGGAAAAGTTCAAAGTCTGATTTGCGTGTCCAGTTACCAGTATCTTCTCATTTTTATGTTCGGATGATGTAATGAACAGTTTGATAGGGTGGCATTATATTCATTGGTTGACCCTGCCCTTCTGAACCTGTAGATCCACTGATTGTATGCGTATGACTTCCACTCGATTGTATAGTGATACCAGTGACATCAGCATAAATTCCATGGACATGAGAAGTCATGGTGAAACCAAATCCTCCAGTCCACGGAGTACCATAGCCATACGTAGGAATCAGTACGCTAGTTGTTGCTCCAGTGTGACTGTGGCCTGGATCTGTATATCCATGTGCATGTGCGCCATTGGTTTGTGTTAATAGTGTACCTTGGTCATGAGTATGTGCCGGTAACTCTGCTGTTACGATAGTATGTGTCGAATTGCCACCACTCGGGAGTAAAGTATCGTTCGTTCCTTGACTGCCCAATGGAAACCGAGCACGAAAATCAGGTAAATTGAACGTATCTATACCATTACCAAGTCCGTAGGTAATGCCAACCACAGAAAATAATGTTTGGTAAGTCGTTCGTGATACTGCTGAACCATTACAAAATAACCATAGAGTATTCTGATCTGACAGTTCAGCTGCACTTCCGCTATAGAGAATAACTGTACCAGTTGGCAGCTCTGAAACAATCATAATCTTAATTGATTAAATCAAGAATTCTAGTTTTCTATTGTACATAGTTGTGGCGCATGGTTCATATGTATTTTCTTAATTACTAATTTAAGAGAGATGTAGAATCTGCACGATTTGTGTTGAGATGAAAACAATATCTCAAATTTCTTTCTCTTCAACGCCAATATTAACTATATATCAAAAAAGTTCTTACAAATTGAATGGACATGATTAACAGAAGAGGAGCTAACCAATACTAGTCAAGTAACTTAAATAAAACTAATTTGTTTTTTCTCTAACTTTCAATAAGACGCGAAATTGTTGCCTCTATCAAAATGGAAGGTATTATAGTAAATCCCCAATCGACTCCACGTAGGAAGTCTTCACTTTCAATATATAAGCGTAACAAGTAAATGAAGTTGTACACTAAAATTATTAAAACATCTCTAAAAAGAATATTTTCATTAGTTGTAGCTGCAGTGAATGAAATTTGACAGAAAAATCCCAGTAGTATTATCAATTAAAAGACAGAAGTCCTGTTTGATACAGTCTGCTATGTGAAATATTAGAGCTCATATTCGTAGCTGCTCTATTATTATGCAGGAAAGATTTCTTAGAAGTGTAGATGCTTATTTAGTTTTTTAGCAGTTTTATCATAATTCATCCACAACTGAAGATGCTTGCGAAATGTTGAATTATGGGAAAAGAACTTCAAAGAGTTTCACTAATTAGTTTACTTCTGATTTAAACTGAAACACAAAATTCATGACCGAAGCATCTTGAACAGATAAGAACTCTTTCATGAGTATCTTGCTTTTCTTTTGGAGGAGTCTCGATAAGTTGATCGAGATGAATTTACCGTTGCATCTATTATTATACTCTCCTTATGACTATGACTTGAATATGAACAAACTAGAAAAACAAATCAACATAAGCAAAGCATTCATATCGAGATTCGACGATCTTTAATTTCACATAGATGTTTCAATTAAATTAAACCTAGGATACCTATAAGTACAGTTGTGTTTACTGATTTTTTGGTGACTAAAGCAATCGTTCCATATATGCCAGTCGTTAAAGCTGCGGCCAACAATGCACTCACGATTGGGCATACAAACACAAACAATGAACATCTTTTAGGCTTCACAGTGTCTTTTGCCATCCCTCTAGAAAGAAATCAGAAATTATCTTACTTCTAACACGATAGTTTACACGCAATTTCGTGTATTTTATCCGTGTTACTCACTTGCTCACGTTTGTAAATGATGAGTTCCATTGTCTATGATATGATGGATTCATCGATGAAGCATAAGGACTTATGGTAGGTTCAACTGTCCGTAATGAATGCGTACGTGACGGGACATACAAATGTTCGCGCTTTCCAATCCTGTTCTCAGGTCTCATCTAGAGAAATAAAATTTTACTTTCTGAAATTTACTGCAATGAAAATGAATCTTAATCAACAATTTGAAAATGTTGTCGAGTCTATAAGTACCTGGTATGCATCTTCACAATAGACGTTTCTGGAAATATAAGACGCGCGCATAGATGGAATTCTACTTGAATTTAGGTTTATTCCGATACTTTATGCTTTTGTTCACTGAAACAGATTGAATTATTCTCTCTCTTATGTCGATTTTGTTTTCGAGATGATTGAAATACATCGATCTCTGTTATTATTTGTAAGTAGAATTAAAGAAACCTTGGCAATATCGAACAATAGCAGATTATGTTCTCCACCTTTCAATCATTTTTTTAAATTTTGGGTAGCTTTTGTACGAGACACGTTAGATATTGCAATATTCAATTGGATGAAATTATTTTTATGTCTTGAAAAGTAGAACAAAAAAATTCAACAATCGTATTGCAAATAACAAAACAAATTAAATAAAACTCTTCTGATGACAGAAAGAGAATAATATTATATTAGCAATGAAAGAACAAAATGACGCAGAAAAAGTTTGTATTAAAAAACAGAATTTGAATGTGGGTGTGGATATTGATGCCAGTACCGATAGCTTGCATACTTAAATCAGAGTTCTAATCCACATACATCTACATTCACATTCACCGCCGGTCGAAAATTGTTCGGTACACGACGAATACGACTTTCAGAGTCGATTTATTGAAATTATTTTTAGGTGAACGTGTCTCTTAAAAATTTTCGCTCAGGTTTGTTGCTCGGAGGAGCAACTGGTATAATTGTGAAACTTGGAGAGTACAAGTATAATCCTATAATTGGATTTTTCTTCCAAACCAACCAACTACATTTCCCGACTTCATTCGTTGATTATCGAATTTTTTGAGAAAATTCAATTAGAATCATATTCAGGATTTGTTCAAACCACTTCATCGAATTGCTTACACCCATTGGTTAAAATAAATATCTATCAAACATCGATTTTAGAAGAACCACAGCCCAAACAATCAATGCTACAAAAAACAAATGGTAATTTACTAATCGATGTTCTCATAATAGTTCTCGTTACCACAAAACAAATCAATTCATCAAGACTGGTGGCTTTTGAAATACACCGATTTTCATTGACTTTTCTGCTGTGGATCAATTTTATTTTCGTATATTTCTATAATACAAAAAAAAAGACACGTTCCCTAGAAATAAGCCGATAGATTCTATACATACATCAATTAATTCTATCATCTCTCCATTATTAAAATGAACAATCTCTCACGCTGTCTAAATAAAAAAAGCCTACAGTTTCTTTTCTCGCTATTTCTCTCGAAACAAAAACGATTTCGTTATATGCATGACTATTTATAAGGAATTTTTCAAGTATTTAACGTGCTAACCTTTCTTCTGTCCTTAAAAAGTAAAAATCGAAAAAAATTAAGAATTTCTCATGTCTTGCATCTTGAGATGCTGTTTGAAACGAAAGAAATGTGCTGAGTGAAGATCATTGGAAAATTTTGGGTTTACTTTGTATCATATCATTCGGTTATCAAAAAGTAAACCAATGAAAACTATTCGAACCTAGTTGGCACGAAATCAATTATTTTGACGTAACGAACACTATTTTAAAGTTGCAACAATATAGAATCGTTGCATACATAAAAGAACAATAAGTGCGTCGCTATGGTACAGTTTTTATTTGATGTTTGTGTTGAATAGAATTGCAGATGAAAAATCGAACGAAATTACTAACGATTATCAATATCTATTGAATTTGTTTTTCCTTCAATGCCATCGGTCCCTTAGCTCAGCTGGTTAGAGCGCCGTGCTAATAACGCGGAGGTCATGAGTTCGATCCTCATAGGGACCAGATCTTTTTTTCATTCATTTTTTTTCTCCCGTACAAAAGAAATATCAGATAGCAACACGCATCACCATACACCTTCATTTATCCGTCACTTTCTTAATCAAACTTTTATTTCATGTGAATAGATTACAATCAACAAAGAAAAAAAAAGGTGATACTCGGTGATCTTCCGTGCGTTAATGTAAAAAGAATAACGACATCGTAACAACATAGATAAGAGAAAAAGAAAAAGAAAAACCATTTGACCTAACTCGTAATCTTGAAATCATATTCCAAAGTTTTATTTGTTCTTTTTACGTTCATTCTCAAAACTTACTTTGGCTGTTGGCTTTTTCGATAAATAAGATACAAAAAAGAAATGAAGAAATAAACCAAAATAAACCGCATACATAACAAACGACCAAAATATATTAGCATAAGCAACATCACATGCTGCACCATTTTGTTTATAGATGTATGCTTTATAATTAACAAAGCAGCCAACAACCATTTGCGATAATTGAAACGTAGTAACTGTTACACTAATCCATTTTGGTATCTGAAATTTCATAGCTCGAAATGCATAATAGCTATACATCAATGCTAAACAAATGAAAATACTGCGTAAAAATTATATGTGTATATATATTTCAAAACTTACCGTGAACACTGTAATTCAGAAACACAAACCAACGTCCACTAGCTGTCCAATCGTGATAACTGTTAGCAATAATTTTAATATTTTAGGATCAAAACAACAACAACAACAATTAATTCTTACCTATACCAAGCATAAATTAAGACAGTAGCATGATGAAACCAATGAAGAAAAATTAATTTCTGTTTCCGTAATACAATGAATAATGTATCAATAAGTTCAGGAACTTTTGATATGCAAAATATTGTAATCCTTAAAAATGAAATCGCGAAAATAAGCTAAAAATAGAATTACATTTACGTACCAAAATCCAGTGACACCGTAAATATTACTATTATCACAAATAGTGTATTGCAAGCCCCGTTTATCTATGCCATAAATCATTTCAGGTACACAACGTATCATGCCAAATATACTAAATAAAGCCAATGCAACATTCCACAATATTAATGGCAACCGTAATTCAAAACGTTCACGTTTTTCCATCAATGAACGACCATAATAAATAAAGCCGACATATATTATTGAATAGACGATACTTAACCACCACCATTTGTTCATCCAATTATAGATATTATGGGCATAGGTTTTATCGAAAAATTTCTTTTCAAAATCAAACACAAATGGATGATTTATACCGATTGGATCGAGCACCCATGGTGTTACTTGTAATTGTTTTGGATTGAGATATTCACGAAGGATTGGGTTCCGATAGAACGATTCAAAAACCTCCATCGTTGGAATAGTCAATCTAAATTAAATGAAAAAAAATAATCATAAATGAGATTTCATCGTTTTTCTCTTGTGATTTGAATCAAGCGAAATGGATGTGTGGATATATTCATATATATATATCTACACTAGACCACTTCTATATGGCTTCGCTATGACGTCATCAGGCATTGTACGGCACACATCATAAACAGAAAAATGCTGCCGTTCGTGTATGCATTTATGACGATGTGAAGAAATAAAAGGCGAGAAGAAGAAGAAGAAGAAGAAGAAGAAAAGAAAATAAATGTTGTCCTTAAATGCATCACAAAAATCATACGGACATGGTTACTCTACGGAGAAACGGATAGAAACAAAATAATAACTATTGTAACTACTGATTTATTCAAATTTACACAGAAACAAAAAGAGAAATGCACGAAGACATGAAAAAGAATTAAAAAATTGAGATTATAAAAAATAATTTTTCACAACAAAAACACAATAAATTGAAGTTTTGTTTTTCATGTCATCATTTCAACGACGGTCGATGGCCATATATTTGTACATACTGTTCGAGTTCTTTTTGAAGAAAAGCAATACGTTGTTGTAAATAAACGACTTGTTGTTTCAATGAAAATATTGTATTTTCTAAATCCAGACGAACATCATTTGTTAGTAGACCTTTAATATTTTTTTCATATGTTAAACGCAATTCCAGCATTTCGTTTTTATGATGCTCTTTTAAAATTGATAATTTACGTTCCAATTGTTCTTTTTTTGACGCTAATGTACTGAAATTCTTCTCCAAATTTTTCATACATAGATCAAATTGCTAAAAGAGAATAAAATAAAAATCAAACTAATTTTTTATCCTATAAAATTTATCAAGCTTGTTACAAGCAAGTTTCCAGCCTATCAAATTATCGTAATGATTAAAACAGATGGTGCCATTACAACAACCAAAAATTCGATATTTCAATTCTATGATTTTTTATTGTCGAAAAAAGAAAATGTTTAATTTCAAACGTACTTCATCATTCGTTAAATTACACTTTAGCTGAGCGAGGCCTTTGGTGCTCAACTTTCAAGCGCAATATTAAATCAGTCACTAACAAAAATTGATTTTTCGAATTTTTCACTAGGGCAATTTTCACAGGTATCGTTTCGAAAAAATGAGCTCATCTGATGAAGTTATCGATATCTAACGAGAATAGGAGTATTCTGAAATTTCTCGAAGATCCGATAATACCTCAAGAATTGAACATTTTATTTCTAAAACAAAAATTTTGGCAGCTCTGCTCGCTTTGAAGAAAAAAATCTGATTGAATGTTTCGACGTACTGCTTTAATTTCGTTTTTTTCACGTAATGATTGGTCACTGAGAATTTTACATTGCTTTTCAAAAACTGTTTTAGCTCGATTTTCCTCATCTTTAAATGCTTGAATTATTTTTTGTTGATCATTAATAACCGCTTGTTGATTAGCAAAACGTGCTTCGTATTCATCTAGAACGAAATATTTTAGTAGAATGTATTGGATTCTATTTTCTTTTGAAACAAACCTTCCATTGATTTCACTTGTTCATGCGTTTTAGAAATTACTTGTTCAATACGTTTTTCGTATTCATCACTTATGTTTTCACACTTAGTTTCAAGTTTTCGTATATATTGTTCATAATGATTGACAAGCTATTTACGAACCGAAAAAGAAAAGAGAAAACAATATGTGAGAATTTCGTTATTATTTGCAAAAAATTAATGTTCTGTTTTAGTTTTCTACAGGGTGATAGTTAAAAATTAATTGTGTTCGTATTCTCTTCAATAATTGAATTAGTTTCAATGATATATCATCGATCTATATGAGAGTCGTAAAATTTCATTTCAACTATGTGAGATAGTATAGTGAAGTATAATTTTAGATGATGATTAAACATAATTATAGAGAAAAAAAATAATTACCTGTGGATCTTTTCTTTTCTTTCTTTCTTTTTGTTAATTAAATACGTCTATCAATTGGATGACGTAGAATTTATTTGTGACTGGTAGAATATTCAGCGCATAAAAAATAACCTTGTTTATAAAGAAAAACGAAAATAAGTTTATCTGAAGAAAAAAAAACATCAAGCTCTCGAAATTCATTCGAATGCTTAGAGTAAAAATTCTTATGCTAAAGCAATAAGTTTTAGGTTCTTACTTATTATTTCGTATTCTTCACCTGTGCGAACCTCGAAATTTTCCCATGGCGCACGACTTTGTTGTCTCTTGTTCGTCGTAGATTGATAAGTTTTTTTTGTCTCATTCAGTAAGCATTGCTTAATTCAATCTGCACATTTATCTTCGTATTTTGAGAAAAAGTAATACGTAGTTTTCTCAATGAACACTTATTCAGAGATTAGGTTGTGAAGAATTTTTTTTTTTTCGTTTAGCTGAGCCTTGGAAAATATTCATTGTGAGGGAAAAAACTGTTTTCAGATGTCGATGATTCAACTGTATTTAAGTAGAAATGTTCCTACTGCCTATTTCATAGCAATCATCTTGCATCTGCCGCCTTTCGAATTAGATGATTTGCAATATTCTGAGGATTCATTTTACTGAGTAAACAATCAAACAAAATACAACTTTCTCTTTTGTACACACGAATCATCTTATATATATAATCCTACAGAAGCCATTTAAATTTATACGGTATAACGTCACGCGTACGGTCTATTTTTCTTGTCTAGAATCGAGAAAGGGCAGTAAGTTACTCTTCGAATATTTGCACATCAGTAAAAATGAAAATATTTTAGAAATATTCAAGTATCAACTTCACGAGTCTGAACAAAATAATAAGTGCTGCTTATATTTGGAATTCAATCTAAATACACTACTATAGTTAATAAACATCGCCTTTCACCAATATCATGCAGTATTCTACTTCATTTGTAGTTGTAAAGCTTCATGGTCATGATTAACATATTCATGTGTAATGATAGCTATTCATCCATACGACTGTCACAAAAATCCATTAATGTCTTTCGGTTTCAATTATATGAGTAACCCATTAAAATATTTTTCTAGCTGTATAAATTTTAATAACGTCCTTCAACGAACAGTTGTTGCCACTGTTACGGCAGCAGCACGATGTATATTTATGTTTTCTCGTTAGTAAAAAAATTCGAAATTTTGAAGTATTATGATTTTTCAATCACTCGTAAAATTGAAATGGTTTTTCTAGGAGTTTGTTTTCATAAGTACTGATCACGGTGGACATATGCTAACTATTCTATTGTAGGTTGTATTTGTTTTGATTAAGCAAAATATTGGATTGTAAACAAACCTGTTGTTTTTCAATTTCATGTGTTCGTTTCGTGTCAACAGATGCTTGATCAATTATTTTAAAATCATTCTTCATTGTTTCTTCGTTTTTTTCGACTATTTGCTCATATTTACGTTTTATATCTTGGATTTCTTTATTGAACTTTTCACGTAGTTTTTCTTGATCTCTTTAAATAAAAAGAAACACGACATTCATAATTTACTCTTATTCGCATAAAAACAAACCGTTGATTAGCTTGTTCATATTCAAATTTTAGTTTGTTCATCAACATTTGTTCTGTTTCACGTGTTCGATCATTCATTTCTTGGATCTAAAAGTTTGAAATAGAAAAAAAAAATTTTTCACGAGAAAGGAATTTTACTTGATTTTCTAAATCAATTGTAATCTTATGTTTTAGTTGTCTTAATTCACTTTGTATTTGTTCATTATGATGAATTGATAAAATGTATTTTTTATTTTGTTCTTTTAATTCTTGTTTTAATGCTAGAATAATTTTTTCATAATCATTTTCGCATTGTTTTATATTGTTATGATAGTTTAGTTGTTGTTCATTTGTTTTTAGTTCGAATGATTTTTCTATTTCATGAAATTGTTCTGTTATTTTTAATAGTTGTGTTTCTAGATCATCTATTGCTTTGCTTGATTTACTTTTTAATATCTCATTTTCTTTACGTAATAAATCAACTGTTGATTCACAACGAAGATTAGTAGATTTTATTTCATTGTCATAGCGTTGAATTTGATCAGCATTGTTACGATCAATATGACGTTGCCTATTTGTTAATTCTTGAACCTTAAAAAAAACATTGATCGAATATTTTGGAATGATATTTCTTAATGTGTCATTGAATTAATGCTAATAAATTCTTATTCGAAAAAAAAACACATGAATTGACGAGTACAGCTCATGAAGTATGCATAAGTCTATCGAAAATTTTCAGCCTTCATTGAAATTCCTTATTCAAATTATTGTTTTAACTTATTCAGATTGTTTATGTGCATAATTTTATTCGAATTTTACAGTTTGTATTTCATTTGAACATTGAAATGGATAGTCGAGATTCGACTCCAGGGACATACCTGTAATTGTAGTTGTTCATTTTTTTTAGTTAATTGGATTTTATCTTCTTCGAGTTTTTGTTTCACTTGTTGAAGTTGTTGAACGTTGGAATGAAAATCTGCCAGTCGTTTTTCCATTTCTTCAACAACTGTCTCATTGGTTGATTGTTGATATTTATAGTTACTTTCCATTTGTTTTAAACGCTTAAAAATTACAAACGAATATAAGTATATATTTCTTAGAAGATGTTTGATTAAATATTGTTTACTTGATTTGTTTCATCTAATAGATCTTGATATATCCGTGAATGATGTTGTTTAATTTCTTGTTTATCATGTTCGTGAACAATTTTTATTTCATGAATTTTCCTCTCTAGATGGCCTTTGAACTCTTTTAAATGTTGTTCTAATGCTGTCTATGTAATAAAAAATAAACGATAAGTTTTATGATGTGAGAATACAAAAGAGAGGAATTTTACTTGTTCGATTTTGTTTTGTTGCTTTTCATGTTCAATTTCGATTTTTAAACGTCTATTTTCGTGATTTATCTGACCTGAATGAACTTCTAATTGTCTATTATTATCTTCGCATTCACGTAATTTTGTTTCATAATAAAGTTTTAATTTATTTAATTCAGTACATTTGATTTCATTCATTTGCTGAACTCGTTTATCATACTCTTTTTCCCAGAGAAGAAAATGATCAGTAAGACGTCTATCAAATGGATTTACGAATAAATCATTATCATTTGAATTATTATTATTATTTCGTGTATGAACAGACGATAAAGGCGATGATGAAATCAAATCATGCGACGATAAAGATCGATAAGGCTGTCGTTGTTGATTTGGCAACGTTGCTGAAGTTAGCGATGATGAAAATGAATGAATTCGCTTCATGCCGTCAAGACTTTCAGATTGTTGAAGATTTGCCGGTGGTTGTTCATTCTGTGCAAATAAACTTTTTTCTTGTTCACTGGCGGATAATGAGGTCATTTATACCAACGCCTCGATCGATGAAAGAAGAAAAAAATGACTTAAGAATGAATGAATGAAAGCATGCACACGCAACCGCATTGCAGCTATGTGGAATTCAATAAACAATAGTAAACATCAAAAGAATGCAGTCCAGTAATAGATGGCGTTCATTTATGTTCAGTTTCAATTATAGAACGGATTGTCTATTAATGAAATTGTATCTTACAGTTATTGCAACAAATTACAGTTTTCTCATACTTGTTCTCTAGACATAATAAGACATATTTATTTAACAAGTATTGCAACGCCACTTCGGCAGGGGAAAACCTCGAAACTCAATACAATAATATAATTCTTGTATTTCAAGGTTAAAATACATCCTTGAGTACAAATTACTATCCACTTGAAATATTATTATTCTTTACAAAAAAAATTGAACTGATGTTTTTTATATATACAGATGTCATAGACATCGACTATAGCTATCACGCGTGATACCATCAATTCATCTGTATTGAAATATCATTTTCTATCGGTCGCATCCGATTCTAACGTGTTTGTTTGTCTATGGCACAAATTCTTAGTATTATTTTTTGCGATAGTGAATTCTTTTGCATGAAAAAAGATTTAGAACTGTTGTACTAAAGTTACTCGGAATAAAATTTTCGCAACGAAGTATTTGCTGTGCGGTCGATTCTCGTAATGACATTGAAAAGTGAGTTTGTTTGAAATTTGAACTAGAGATCGCTGAAAGAAAGATGATCTTTACAGCATAATTTACAGTGCATGCACTTTGAGAAGTGTACCATTGAGAGGTTTCATATTAATGTCTAAACGATTTCTATATAACAAATCATTGTTTATTGATACTTAAGCATTCACGATGTTTGCTTTGCTTTTGAAGATAAAATAAAAACATGAGCATATGAACTAGCTGAAGATAATATTCTTACTTACGAGTAATTGGTTGAAACGCCTCATGATTATTATTCTTAGCGATGATTAATTACTAAACTCAATAGTAGATGAGAATGGAAATGTAACGCGTCGGGTCACTGGTATCAGCATTCTCTTCGAAAATCCAATACTGAACCTGAAAGTTCTTTTTTCAACTGTGCACTCATCCGATCATCTACGAGTAAAACGAGAACTAACATAAACTTCATAGTATAATGATGGCAAACAGTTCTTTTACTGCGATAGCCATTTTGAGGTATCAGATTTCTCTAGCCCACATATCTAATTTCGCGTAGTAGTAAAACACAACACAAAAATTATTCCACATCAAAAACCACTTTCATTAACATCACTCCTCTTGAGTATTTGCTCGAAATGTCTCAAGCAATCTATTCGATGAGCAACGATGTTCTTGCTACTTGTAATGAATCGATAGTTTCATCTAATTACTAAATTGCTTGAAGTTAACTTTTTTCATCACCTCATTGATGTAAAAATATGCTTTTCTTGCATAAAAAAACACAGAGACACCTTGCCAGGGCAGTTTTTTCTTCTGAAAGAATGGAGGGTAGACAGTACAAATAAAGCCGAATCAGAAACTTCGAGATTGCATTTCTACTGTTTATCCTCGAAGAAAATATTACAACAATAACTGAATTAAAAAGATCGGATCTAGTCTTCTTTATAATACTTGCGGTTAAATCGACTTCGATGGCTCCGCCGAAAAAAATCTTTTTCTCTGAATTGAATAAAACCATGCGTTTTCTTTTTCTCCACACAATTATCAGTTTAACGACATGTACTCCATAGAATACTGTGACAAATTTTATTTATCTCCATTTACAATCGTTTATGAGTGAGCATATTTGATTGACGTGTCGAACCGAAGAATTCTTTTGACCACTAGACTCTTTCTTAATTTTACAAGCAAGATATTTGATCTAAACATTGGCATGTTTACTTATACGTTTTTACTGTTTCTATCGGCTTTGACTTGTCAAAAATATCTCGAGTTTCGATAGCGAAAACATATTTAGGAATTTTTTTTTACATTTAATATTACAATCTGGAATATCGAAAGCGTTGGGTTTTATTTTGTTTTATCGCTTGGCAATTTAGAGTGCTGAATCCCTATTCTATTCTTGACGGTGTTTAATAAAGCATCATTGTACTTGTTTTTGTTTCTGCTACTTACGTCTCTTAAATTGTTCTATACTGCGTTTTTTCTTTCTCTTGAATTCCTCGGTTTTTTTCTTCTTTCATCATCGAAACGATGAGAGACATGTATCGTTCAAATATCAACACATCGGCATGCAAAAAGTCATAAAATCGAACTTTTACCTTTTTCTCGTTCTGTTATTATTCTCTTGAAATTAAAACTAAGACATTCCAATTTTTTTCAGTCGTCATTTTTTTTTTGTTATTATTTGATTATAGACGAAGTAAGGATTTCATCAACATTGGATATATGATTTCAAACATATAGCCTCAATTATTCTAAAAGAAAATACGATTGGCTGCATTACGATTTATATATCAATATTAAGATATTACTGAAAATATGAAGATTTGATCCGTTATCTTTTCTTCTTCTTCTAGAAGTATGTCGGCACGACCTTTATCGCCAACTAAAAAAGCGAATAGTGCCAAAGCCGATTCATCGTCGTCGAAAAAAAAAGGCAAAAAAAATCTTCCACAAGATGATATCGTTGATCTACATCAACAACAGATTGATGAGTTAATACGTGAACGTGAAGAAATTCGATCGAAACTCAACAGTATCTGTTCGAAAATAATAGAAAATACTAATATCGATGACTATGAAAGCGAAATCGATTTAACGAAACAACAACCGTCCGATGTACCTCTCGATAATATGCTATCGATGATTGATACACTCTGTCGTTATCGCTCAGCTTTTCTAAATATTTTTCAAGAATCCGAAGAACAAGAACACCGTCCTATTCAAAAACGAATTACACAATTAGCTATCGAAGAACCGAATCTACTGCGAAAACGTCTGACATTAGATCAACGATTAACATTTGTCTCGCGCGAACGTGACCTTTGGAAAGAAAATGCTCAATCAATTCAAATCATGTACGCTACAATAGGTAGGCGCATAACAAGATTAATTTAATGATACTATTAAAGTGCATATGATTTTAGTTGACCAATTAGAAATTGGCGCATTAAAAAAATCCAATGCAAAAACAACCGATATTATTCGTTCGCATCGTTTAAATCTGGAGGATGTTTGTCTTATTTTTTCATCTTCTAACATTCGATCGCGTAAGTTTATTTAAATAACTAAAATAGCCTAATCCAACGATAATATTCTTCATAGTTAATGACGCAAAAAAGCAACGCGAACAAAATACACTTGACAATCAACTTGACAAATTAAACGATAAACATATTTCTTCTGATCTTAAACGACAAGATGATGATAATAATTCTAATAAATCATTATCTAGAATTCCATCAACTGTCGATGAAGACAAAAGAGATAATAATAACAATCTATCATCAAACGTTAAACGTACTGTTTTATTTGCTACAGAAGTTCGTATAATTAATGACAATGAAGATATTAATCATCAACAAATAAAAAATGACGATCAATCAAGAACAAAATTGTTTTCACCGAAACCCATTATTTCACTAGCAAGTCACACATTAGTAGATAACATGGATGCAGATTTACGTATGTTAATTATCAAAGAACTTAGTAAAGACCATTTTTCTCCAAGACCATCGTCGAAAATGAGTTCGTTCTCTATTACATAATATCTTTTATTTTCTTCTCTATAACCGTAGGTTTCAATTATACTAGAAGTAATGATGACTTTCGTTCGTATCAAGAAAATTATCGTTCGCGAAATCGTCTACCTGAATGGGTCGTCTTAGCACGATTGATTGGATTAGATGAGCCCGAAATCGATCATTGGTCCTCGCAAAATCTTCAATATCCTGCTGGTAGGGTTATATCGACTTGGTGTAATAGTACTTCACCATCACCTACAGTTGCTCAATTATATTCTCTTCTTTCAACAAATCAATTAAATAGATTAGATCTTGCTCGACATATTGAAACAATGTATAGAATTTAAATAATAAAGACAAATCTAGATTCATTTATTTTTTTATTCGTAATATAGAGTGATTTAATCGACCATTCTTTTTTAAAAATTTATAACTCAGTAAATTACAACATGTGTAAATAATCATAAGAATCTTTTTCTTTTCTTTTTCTGTGAATTAAAACATTCAATCATGGATTGTTGTTTTTAGTTTAAGATCAGAGAACGGCAAAAAGAATCACGTCAACATTGAAGTATGTTACAATATTCTATCAATTTATTTTTCAAAAACGAAATCGAATCATTTCGTTGTTGCTTTTTCTCATAAAGACCAGATAAAATTAGGGTTTCTTTCAAGTCTACTCAAGTTGATGAAATAACATGTACATAAAAAAAAGTGTTCGATATAAATTTATCAATTTATATCAGAGATGACAATGATTTATAAGAACGAGAATACTTAGAGTTCTAGCGTGTGAATTACAACGATGTTTGACACGATAACATTGTCGATTTTGCCAGTTGTTATTACTTAGCTTTCTACTGAAATGAAAACAGTATCGATATTTTGAACTACAAATCTATTAAGAAGTCGTACATTACTGGAAATTAACTGATTGAATTGTGAATATAACAGAGCGTTAAAGTAAATCAGAAGAAGATTTACTACTACACCTACACCTCGTTATATAGATTATTATTATCAATAGCTGACAATCTGATATTTTTGACGTGTTGAAAATGCCTACGATCCAATATGGTTCCAGCGCGCATAAATTCAGATACGACTGCAGAACAGACGAAGACCCGTTGGGTGTGGGTGTGGGTGTGGGTGTGGGTGTGGGTGTGGGTGTGGGTGNTTATGGAATATAGTGAGGGTCTTGGTACACATCTTGCTGATGGGCGTGGATGTGGGTGGGTGTGGGTGTATATCTATTTTTCACTCACACACACACACGGAAGCCCCTGTCTAAAATCATGATGTCATTTTCCTTGGCCCAATTAAGAATATTCTCATAGTTGTTGAGTATGACATGCTTCAGAACAGAAGCGTCATTGTTATGAAAGTCGGAGAAGAATGGTCCAAAAACGGTGACTATATACCCAGTTGTGGTTATCATAACCATGGGCTTGATCAAGGACCGTTTCTTCTGCAGACTGTATGTCTTGCGTTGAACTGCATTATTTCGACTTTTCTATTTTTCAAAAGAAAGCGTTAGTTTGAAAATGCTCGTGACTTATTTTACCTGTATCTATATAGATAGGTTCCATCGAGTACCAGTATAAATGGGTCTCGGCCCTCAGTCAATAAACGATTTGCGATTGGTGATGTATGCTTGTCGATAACATCCTGCCGTGCCCCAAGTGAGCTAAACCCAAATAGCGAGGCACGAAGTGCTTAGAGACCGCAACTCGAGCCTCATATATGATACGGCTCATTTGGCGTTTGCTGTCTACACCGACGATAGATGCTAAAACCGAATCGCTCAAGTCCTGTTTCAATTTCATTAAAAGATACGCCAGAGCAGATCGAGCTGATCTTGTCGCTGAATTCTTCAAAGATGTTGGAGGTATATGTGACAAGATAAGAGCATGCTGAGCTCGAGTAAATCCAGTCAATTTGATGTAATCAGTATCTGTCAAGCACTTGCATTCGTCAAAATCAAGGTGTTTGTTACTATTGAGTCGTGTTCGATACGATTTAAGGAGGTTTATAAGAGTTTGTCGAGAAAAAAGTCGATATTGCACTTTGTGTGGTACCAGAGACTGGAACGCTTCAGGTATCAGGCGTTTATCGACAGGATGTAGCTTGCAGCATCGGGATCCTGCAGGTATTTCGATGTGGCGTCGAATGAACAATTCAGTGAGATCTGCTTCGCGAATAGTCACCGTTGGAGGTACAATTTGTTCTTTTGCAAACACAACATTGACTACAAAACGAAAAGTACTTAATTGTCTGTATCCTAAGCATCTACCTTTTTGAAAAGACCGAAACTTCAATTGGAACTTCGATACCTTGTTCATCGATATTTTCATCTGAGGGGACTGTATCCATCTAGAAAGTTAGACTAAATAAAGATAAAATATATTCAGCTGCACTTACTGCTTCGCTACTTTCATCCAAAGTAATTTCTTCATCGGCTACTTGATCACTAGTAACAGTTGAATCATAAATCGATGCGCTATCACTGGATGATGCATTCGCTGTTTGAGCACGAATAGGTCCGTCGTGCATAGAATCAGCCACACTTGATGTGTCATCAATCATCTGATTAGTGCCATTATCTTCATTAATACACCCTTCTACCTCTTCACTTTCATCACTGACAACATCAGTGACAGCATTTGCTGCTTGATGGTTATTGTTGGCGGCGATCAGCGCATCTCAGAATTCTGGTAGATCTGCCCATAGATTAAACATAAAGCGGCACTTTGTACAAATGTAGCTATCACTCGGCAGAGAAGTTGGAAACAAACGTGCAGCAACAAAAAGTCGAATACAATTTCCCTTCAGAGAGCGTCGACAGCTCGCAGTAAAACGATCACCACAACACGCGTACGCACAAAACTTCTTCGAATTCATTTTATGCGAAATGAAAAAATAACCAATGAAACGCATACAACTTATAATCTCTCTCTTCATTCTCTATCACTAAAAGAAACTCTCTGAATAACTCTCCATCTGAAATATATTCTCTCTGAATCTCTCTCCCTATCCAATATCTTTTCTAAAAATAATTCTCCATCTGACATATATTCTCTCCCAATCTTTCCTAAAAATTCTTCAGTTCATTTCTCTTTTTCTCTCTCTGAAATAACATCAGTGCATGTATTTCACGCGCTCTCTAAGATATCTTCTCCGCGTAGGCCTCCACATTCAAATATCTTCTCTTCCACTACATTTAACTGACCACATTAATCATTCCTATGTTATCCGACTTGCATCTCTCCTTCTAAATTACCGCAGAAACCCTCATAAGAAAGGTTTCTTGCGCTCTCATCATAACACCACTGTTAAACTAGAGCACCCCGGTCAGAAAACCTTTCTCTGACAAGCCACCTACCCATTTTCTGAAGCAGCGTATACATAAAAAAATTCTTACAATATTCATTCCGTTACAATCCGACAACTTCACCAATGCTGCGCAAACATAACCAAATCTCTGCAAGTTTTTATAATCCCGTCAGAGGAACGCTAGATATCCTCTCACCTCAGAACATTTTTGAAGCACTCAATCGCCTATGTTTCCGCTGGTAAAATAACGGTGGTATCTAGTTCACTACCGAAGATCGTAACCATCACACTTTGCCATATATTGCCTTTTCCATAGAATTTCCATAGTATGCTGTTTAGGAATTGTCGAGCACAGTATATTTTACAGGGTGTTTTATGGCCATTTTGTAGGCCTTGAAAAGCTCTATGTGCAGGTTATTGGCGGGCCTGTATAATTTGTTGCCGGCTGCTACAACATTCGTGGCAGCGTATATTCTATTGTAGAGATCTACTGTTTGTAGATGGAGACTTGAAACCTTTTGAAACTGGTCGGTAAGAGCTCAGAATCGTGTACTCACACACAGTACAGTGTGATATCGTAGTTAGAAATGATTTTTTGAACTGATTTTCACTTAGGGCCGTTTTGTGTACAAAGTGTTCCGCCTCCTTTTGATCCCATAGGTTACGTTCTTTATCAAATAATGATCTTGAATGGGATTTATTAGAATCCTTGACTAATGTTCTTGCACCATTTTCTCTTGCAATAAGATGTTTATCCGGTCGTAAATATGCTAAATTATCTTTATCGTATTGGGTAACAGAAAATTTATTCATGTTCTTAACCAGTGAAACGCCGGATTGTTTATTGGAAAAGGGTTTAAAGAAAATGTTATTAGAAAAATTTAATTTATATTTTGGTGGAAACGTGACACACGAACAAAAATCTGCTAAGTTGGTAAGTGAAGATAAAAATGTGATGATTTGGGTGTATGTATATATAAATTGATTGAAAAGCTCAAAGCCACATATGACTATTTCACTTTTTATTCATTTTTTAAAAGGCAATTTTTTCAAATTTTTTTCATTTTTCTTTGTAAAAAAACGGAAAAGAAATGCAGATGATAAAGTGATACAAGCGATAAGATTTTAACGGACAAATTGATATTGTCTTTGTACCATAGTAAGGAAGGTCATTCTAAATATTTATTTCGAGGTTATACAGTGTATGTTTCTTGGATTGTTACAGATAGAATAGCACACGTAAGTTTAAAAGAGTAAAGCTCATTGTTCAAATGTGTTCAACATCGATTATATATAATGTCGCCATTGCCATCATTGAGAAAAAGAATAATTGATAATTATGATAGAATGTTGTCCCTGAAAATTAGATACGAATAGAAATTTCAATGAGAAAATTTCCTTTCGTGAAAATGAATCGAATATTTACCTATTGACGACCGTGTCTGATTTGATACACTCGTAGTTCGAATAGTAATTGTTAGATTAGATCCGCTTGTGGTCCCAACAGTAGTTGTTGGATTAGATGCGCTTGTGGTCCCAACAATAGTTGTTGGATTAGATCCGCTTGTGGTCCCAACAGTAGTTGTTGGATTAGATGCGCTTGTGGTCCCAACAGTAGTTGTTGGATTGTAATTCAATCCTGTGGCACATGTGCTCAGATTTACGTTGCAATTGTTAGTTGTGCAGAAGCATTGTGTTCCCCCTATAGCCCCTCCGCCTCCATATGTCGTAAAAAAGAGCAGTTGTGTGGAACTCTCATTGTATATGAACTGTGCATTAGGGCTGTAGGCCGCTGCAAGGTATTGATTGTAAAGCCACTGGAAGCTCAGATCTGTGTCGTACTCTTCGTAAGTATATCCTTTAATGTATCCGTTAGTATTAATGAAACACATGACGGTATTGTTGGCAAAGTATGCGTCACATAATGTTGTATTTACAAACGGAAAAAAACTACCAAGATATAAACAACGCCAGAAGGTAATACTTCCACCAGAACTCTGAGCTGCATTATCTTGACACGACACATGCGTGGTCAAACTAGGGAGAGCTGTTATCAAACGGGGTGATGGTGCATACGCCGCCACTGAAGCTTGACAAGTGGACAAGTTCGCATTGCAACGGTCAGTCGCACAAATACATAGTATCGGCAAGACACCAGGCAGAAAAATCTCATATGGTAATGTCGTGCAATTACCGTACCCTACATCAGTTGTCGTACTTGAAAAACCTGTGCATCGAGTGCGACTCATCCTGATCCAACCGTAGTGCCTTGTCTGATCAGCATAGCTTTGGGCAAAGAATAAAAAGCCTGGATCACTCGAAATTGGTACGAAGTCATCGACGATAATACTTTGGAAGAGATTTGTGTAGTTTGTTGGTGGAGAGCCAGGCCAAGCGAAAAGGACACAGTACATTACCCCGTAGGTCTGATTCATTTGTAACCCACCACCAGAACAGCTCAAATTACGAGGTGTCACATACGTCGAACCAAATGGTACTGCCAGAAATCCATGTCCACTAGCGATTGCATAAATGAGAAAAGCGACGAGTAACAGCATGCTAATAATTGATATTACTCAACAAACGTTGTTAGTCGAGGAGTTTCCTTTTCTTTTACGGATGAAAAGTATATGACAACTAGCTAAAAGTAGAAACACCATGAAGATTGAAATATAGATCCAATAACTTCGAGATCTTTTGACTTTATCAGTGAGGGGAAACGTTTTTGACTCATTAAAGCGAAGAAGCACCGACCGATGCAACATTGCGAAATACCCCTTACTTCCTCTTTAAAGCATACAACGGGCCACTTAATTTCAAACCGAATTTCGACTATTAAATAATATTTTAAATCACTCTGAAAATACTTACTCAAAAAATACAACCGCCTCATACATCTTTCCTCAATTCTTTGTTTCAGACCTTAGCTGAAGCTTTTTCTTAGAGATGATGAACTTAGGGAATTACTGAATTCTGAATCCTAAATTCTGAATAACATATATCCTGTCATATACCATTTTCCCAAAGCAGCGGTCACTAAGAGAGCTTCCACCATCATCCTCGTTCTCCCTAACCTCTTCCTCCGAAGAAAAGCTGGCTTTAGGTTTGAAACGTAGATTCCACGATATACATAAGGAATTATGTTATTCTTATGGTAAGTATATTCATGGTGATTTTAAATTTTATGTTAGGATCGAAATTCAATTTCCCAGGTCGAAAAATCTGACTCAAGATCTTATAAAATACATACAAGATCTTGGAATATGAATCAAATCTTACAAGGATCATACAAAAAATCGCAGTTCCTGAGATCTTGAGGGTGTGGGTGTGGGTGTATGTGGGACTATAGCAGTTCGGAAATTACTCAATTCAAAAGAACTGTTCGAATAGTTCAGTTAAGAGAAACTGTTCGAAATTCCTCTTAACTGAACTCCACTGTTAAAAACAGTTCGTTTGAAATAAACTGAACTGCGAACTGTTATAGTCCTAGGTCTATGTCTATTCTTCACTCACACATTAACACCCACACCCACACCCACACCCACACCCACACCCACACCCACANCACCCACCCTCAAGGTTGATAACCACAATAGCTCATATTATTAAGTGAGGTAGAATGCAAAAGAATCTCAGTACATCACGCGTACTTATACAGAATTTTCTCTCTCTGAATATTGCAACATATTTTTCATACTCGTAGTAACACGATTATAAAATTCCCTTACAGGTTGCTCAACAATGTGATTCATTCTTTTCATTCTTTACAATGTCATCTCATTATTGGTTTTATTTATTCAACTCGAAAGAGAAGAATTCACTTCTATTTGATTTATTCCAACATAATACGTCATGCTTTTGTATTACCCTGTTTCAGTTGCGAGAGCTTTCACCATACTCTCCAGAGCTGTGGAAGTACAGACTTTCTCGAGTACGAGTATGGACCCTCCGAGCAGACTTGCCGAGCAGGGGGGGGGGGGGGGTACCCCCCTGAATGCGAACCGTTTCTGCGAAATTTTTTCCATTATATTTCTGTGTTTTTCTGCGAATTTGTTTTTGTACTTCCACAACCTTTAAAAAAATGAACTCAAAGAATACAAATATTACAAGAGCTTTCTTTGAAATGCAAGTATACGAATTGGGTAACATGCAACAAAGTAAAGGGTTTAGTTAAATTATTCTTTTTTTACCAGAAAACATGAGGAGAGTGTCAAAACAATGCCTACAAAATTCTTGCAGAAAACTTACTATGATACTTCTCTTTTACAAGAGCCTCATATTACTATAGTATCAAAATATTTCAACGAATTTAACTGCGTTTCAATGCTTTTTAGTTTGTCTTTTTCCCCTTTTGTCGAAATATGAAGTTTAAAAGTAACTCAGTATATTTTATTTAAAACAATCTATATGTCAAAGATTACATTTATTATCTTCATTGTTAACAATAAATGCACGATGCATGTATAGTATAACTACGAAAGAGGAAACTTCGTTTTTAATATTACTTATTGTACGATAATTGTTGTGCTCTTTGATTTTGTGTTATTTTCATCGTAATTGGATTACAACTTAAAGTGATAAAAATCAAAGAGACAGTGCCTTTTTTTCTGGTTGTTATAGTATAAATACGATATATATTAATGACGTACTGCGAAGATAAAAGATAAATTCGTTTAACTATGCATTACTGTGAATAACATTTTTGAAAGTAAAAAAATTGTAAAATATTTTTTGTTTGGGAATTGAAATAATTGTAAAATGATTTTGTTTTTTTT